AGCTGTGTGTGAAGTCTCTACCTCATTGTAGTATATGCAGGCAAGACTGCACTCTCCTACAGACGCGTGGAGTAAGCTGTGGTGTAGTTTTTGGCACATAATAAACACGTTGCAGCAAAAAAAAAAGACAACCTCTTGTGCTCTTTGCTTGTGGGTTTTGGGAGATCTCCATGACCTAGAGGGCTGCGGTGTCTCTTCTGCTCTTGGTGTGGGAGCAGGGTGGGGAGTGGGGAACGTGTGGGTGCTGGGGGGGAGCTCTCTGCTGGGAGCTGCATTTTGAGATGCCAATTACCACTGGCTTGGTCAGTGGGTCAGGCTCCAGCTGGAGCTTCCCCTACTTAGGGCAGCAAGTTAATGAGGGTAATTGGGATGTCCCACCCCGCCCCGGGCAGAGGGGTGATGGCCTGGGGGGCTGGCTGGCAGGGGTGAGAGCTGGAGGGGTCCTGGGTGCAGGACACGGGATGCAGTGGGGGCTGCCCAGGGCCAACTGGGGGGCTTCAGCCTCCTTCCATCTCCTGCATTGAGCAGCTGCACTTCTCTTTTGGGGCTCGGAGGGTGCTCCCTGGGGGTGGTGTGAGTGTGCGGGTACCCCCTCCCTCGCAGCCTGGCGGGGCACCAGCTGGTGCTCACCCTAAAACTGCCTCCTTGGCTGCTCCCAGAGCCGGGGGGGGGGGGCGGGCGGGCACTAGGGCCCGGGGCGGGAGCGCTGGGAGCCGAGCCCCTTCGGAGCCCCGCCCCCCGACTCGGAGCCCCGCCCCCCAACTCGGAGCCCCGCCCCCCGACCCGGAGCCCCGCCCCTGCCGCGGCCCTCCGAGCCGCGCGGCGGCGCTGTGGGCGCCGCGAGCTCCCAGCGGCCCCACGCGCCTCCCGCCATCCTTTGCGCTCCTCCCGCGGCCGCCGCCGACATGGTGGGTACCGGCCGCGCCCGCCGTCCGCCGCCATCCGCCGCCATCCGCCGCCATCCGCCGCCATCCGCCGCCGGGGTGGAGCGGCGAGCGGCGGGAGCCGGCTGGGGGAGGGCGGGAGGGCCGGGGGAGGGGGCGCCGGGGCTGAGGGGCCGGGGGGGGCCGGGCCCGGCGGAGGCCTGAGCGCTGTTTCCTTCGCGTCCCGCCCGCCCAGGGCCGCGTCCGGACGAAGACGGTGAAGAAAGCCGCGCGGGTGATCATCGAGAAGTACTACACGCGCCTGGGGAACGACTTCCACACCAACAAGCGGGTGTGCGAGGAGATCGCCATCATCCCCAGCAAGAAGCTGCGGAACAAGATCGCGGGGTGAGGGGCGGGGGGGGGGGGTCGCTTTGCCGGCACCTGCATTCGAAAGTGACCGCGGCCTCGCCCGTGGCCCCGGTCATCGATAGTGCAGGGAGAGGAACGCCGAAAGCTTTCCCGTGTTTGGGGGGGTCCGTCCCTCCCCCGAGCCCTGGCGCTGTCGGACACTTCCCCGGAGGTTTGAGGGTGGGGGGCGCGGCGGGGGCTCCGCCGCTATTTGCGGGGGGGGGGGGAGAGGCGGGGAAGCCCGGCACGGCCCCGTATGTGTGTGTGTCCCCCCCCCCAGGTATGTCACCCACCTGATGAAGCGGATTCAGAGGGGACCGGTCCGAGGCATCTCCATCAAACTGCAGGAGGAGGAGAGGGAGAGGAGGGACAACTACGTCCCCGAGGTGAGGCTCCGGCGTCGGCCCGTCCTCCTGCCTCGGGCTGTCTTCTCCGTCGGTGGCCCCAAAGTTTCTTTCAAACAAAAGCTCAGCCGGGAGGAGCTGAGAAGGGTTTGCGTCAAGGAGGGCTGAAGTGGATTTTGGGCTTAGGTCGGGGCGCTCCCTCCAAAACTCCCGCCTGGGGTGGGAAGGGCAGCAGCTGCCTGCGCCCCGACGCTGCTGCCGGCGGGCGGGTGATACCCGGCCTCGGCTTTCCTGACTTAAAAACGAGGAAGAAGATAACTTTGTGGGATGCAGGAGGATATTTCAGAGTGGCTTAAAACCTGCTGCGTAGCAGGTGTCGCTGAAGAGAGGGGATCAGTGAAACCCCCTCTCGCCTTCGGCCTGCAAGGGGTTGAGGTCTCAGCCGTGACCCGGTTGTTGATGGTGCAGGGTGAGAAGCCCCAAAAGCGTTTCTCACGTTCGTTGGGGTCAAGCCCGTCGCTCCCTCGGGCCTTCAGACGCCACGGCGCGTCTTGCCCCTCTTCCAGATCCCCCTGACCAGCTTCTGGTAGAGCTGCTGGTTTCTGCGTTGCCCAGAAACGCTCGGTTCAGTGACACCAGCCCTCCCAGATGCTCCGTGCTGGGGTCTGGTTACACAAGGAGTTGCCTTAGTGATGATCCGGGAGGAGCAGGGACGATGGCGGGATGTCACGGGAGCTGTGGCAGGGTGGGCTGGTGCTGCCCCCCACCCGTTTGGAGATCTGCCTCGGGAGCCCAGGGCGAGGTAACACTCCTCTCCACTGGAGACCGGTGCTTAGTTTGACTCCCCCACGCCTGAGAGCTAGAAGCGACGTGTGAAACGCAGGCAGAGCCTCCCCCAGGTGCTTGAGCACCCCAGGTTTTAGGTGTTGGCAGGGTGCTGACCCGCACAGCTGGCGTCGGAGCCGTGGAGGGACTGTGTGTTTTGCCATCGTGGCTGCGTTGCGAAGGCGGGGTGAGGTCACGTCACCCCCAGAGGGACCCCAAGCAGGGAAGGAGCTTCCGTGCTGGAGCTGTCGGTGCGGCGTCTGCTGAACCTGCATTATTTGTGATGTCTTCCAAAAAAACCGCTGGTGCACCGTAGCGTCTCGGGGAAGGAAGCACGTGGAGATGGAGGGTTTGGGGGAGCTGGCTGTGGGGTTAAAGAGCAGGAGACCTCGGGTGCTGGGGTGGGGCAGCCCAGGCGGTCCCTCGGCAGTGCTGCCTGGCACCGCGGCGGTCGGGCTCCAGCCTCGGGGCGAGCACGAGCGTCGCTGGTGGCCGCCGGGACCGGGGGCGGTGGTGGCCCCTCGGCAGCCGTGGCACGGAGCTGGTTGGGCCTCGCATTTCAAAACAAGCTCCTCTCTGCTGCCAGCTGGACCCCCGCGGGGTTTTGGTGGGAGAGCTGGACTCCTTTGGCTCATTCCGCTGCTGGAGCTCTTCCTGACAGGCAGCAAGATCTTGGTTGCGGCGGGACGGGACTGGAATTGGGGTGTGGGGACACCCCGCGGGCTGCGGAGCCTCGTCAGACTGCATCTTCTCTCTCTTCCAGGTCTCTGCCCTTGACCAGGAGATCATCGAGGTGGACCCAGACACCAAGGAAATGCTGAAGCTCCTGGTGAGTGGCCCCGGCTGTCCCCCCGCCCCGGTTAACGCTGCCAGGCTGGTGGCACGTCCCCAGCAGCGCTCCCGCAGCCCCGAGGGGCTGGATGGTGTCGGCTGAAGGCTCCGGCGCTCTGGGCGTGTGGTTCCGCGGGCGGATTAATTCCCGTACGGCTCTGGGAGGGGAGAGGCGTGGTGGCCTTGCCAGGGACCCCGCCGGCAGGGTGGGGGTGCTCCCGGCCCTCCAGTCCTCCCGCAGCACCCTCGGGTGCTCTCGCTGGGTGGGGGTGAACACGGCGCTGTGAGCGATCCCCACCCCGTGCTGTTTTCCAGGACTTCGGCAGCCTGTCCAACCTGCAGGTGACGCAGCCCACGGTGGGGATGAACTTCAAAACGCCCCGAGGAGCGCTCTGAGTCGGTCCCTGTTATGTCGCTTTTCCAATAAACGTGGGGAAACCACCTCAGCCTGCCTGGTCTTTGGAAGCTTGTGTCGCCAGGGGTGAGGAGGGAGGGCTGGTTCCTCGGGGTGCCGCGTCCCAAACACGGGTGTCAGAGGGTGAGGAGGACTCAACACCTTCACGGTTGTCACCGTCTTTCGGGGTTCTTTCCTGGCTGTTTGGGGTGTGAGGTGCAAAGCTGTTATTTTCCAGGCTCTGCTCTCAGGGTGGTGGGAGAAGCCGACTGTGGTGGCTCCTTGGAGCTTGGCGGATTTGCTTGTGCCTCCTCCACGTGGGCAGCTCGGGGGTCATGCTGTGCTGGAATAAAAGTTGCTCTTTATAACTGCGTTGGTCACTTTGAAGTGCTTAAACGAAAGGAAAAAGCCTTGTCGCTGGTTTTCTTCGTGGGAGGGGAGCGAGCTGGGCTGAGCAGAGCGCTGTGCCTGGGGGTGGGAGCTCCCCGGTGCAGACGGGCCCCGGTGAGGTTTGTGCTGTCCTTCCCCTGCCAAGATGCTCCATCCAACAATTCCCCCCCGGGCGTGGGAGAGCTTTGGGGTTCACCTCCCGAAACTCTCCCCTGCGCAGAGGCTCTGCTGGGAGGTGGGGGAGACCTGCAGGTCTCTGCCTTGGCACCACAGCGGGCTGGGTGCGGGTCCCTGAGCCTTCCCTCCCCGCCCACGGCTCAGCACGATGGAGGTTTTGCAGGGGGGGACGTCCGGGGCCCCACGCTCAAAACCTCAGCAAACCCATGGAGCGCCGAGTCCCACCGGTGAGCGTGTCCCACGGGTGGGTACGGCCATGCCGTGGGGGGGACTTCTCCCTGCAGGGAAACCTCGGTGTGTACCTCTGAGGAAAACTTCACAGCCACACCTTAAAACCCCCAGTAAAATAAAAAAGACAAAGGATTTGTGTTTTGGGGAGAACTATCTTTTAAGTTTGCCGTGAAATTTCTTTTGAACAGTTACAGAAGAAAAGTGTTTACAGTAAATGTAGCCAGGTATTTAAATACACCTTGAACACTGAGCTGCAGTCAGGGTAAGCCAAGCAGGGCTGATTTATAAATCCCCTGCGCACCGCAGAGATTTAGCTCAGAATTTGCAGCTCGATACCACCAATCTCTTCGCCATTTAACTAAAACATGGGGAGAACACGGACTGACGGGTAAAATAACCATCAATCTGCAGAAGAGAGCGAGCAAGGAGGCATCCCAGTGTCCTAACTACGGGATTGAATTTCTAAACGCGACCGATAGCTCTCTGTCAGCTCTTAAATATTTAAGTTTTTTGATGCGAACAACCACCTGTTACTTAGAATTTTTTCTTCATCCTAGTCTTCGCCTCAGAGTAAATGTTAATCTCGTTCTGAATCCAATATGCGGTGTAGCCCGAGGTGCCGGGAATGAAATCGCGGAGCTCTCCGACGTATTTCTTCATGTCGCGAGCGGAGGCGTAGCCTGCAAGGGGAAAGCGTGGGAGCTGCCCCCCCCCTTCTCCAAACGAAACCAGGGCAATGGGAAAGGCAAAGCGCGGAGGGGAAGGAAGCGGCTCGGGTCGCGCCCTCGGCGTTCCCGCTGCTGTAAGTACCGGAGGGAGGCGGGGAGCAGGCAGAGGGTCCCCGCTTCATCCGCCATCGTTCCCAGGCATATTTTCCACTCCTTAAAAAAATCTACCGACGCCAAACGTTACCTGTCACCATGTTATTCATCGGGTATCCCTGGAGGGCGCGGTATGGAAAGTCCCCCCGGGCAGGTGCTCTGCGGCCTGTTTCTTCGCTGCTGTATCAAGGGGGGAAAAATAATCTGTATGTTATTTCCTATCCTTCAGGGATCTCCAAACCCTACTGCCGAGGGCAGGAAAATACCTTTCGGCCAGGTCTAGCACATCCTCCTCCACTTTGCCCTCACAGCCTTTTCGCACCGCCTCCGGTTCGTCCGTCAGGTTTTCGTTGGGCTGCGAGTATAAACGCAGAGTTGAGTTAAAGCTGTGTCCTGGGTTCCCCGCAAAACACGAGAGACGTGCTCCGAGAGGGCGGTATTTTTAGGACTTGTGATTTCAAGCATGATTTAGCATACAATTTTAAATCTAATCGCATTTTCACTTCGGAATTACTGAGAAGTTGCTTTGAGAAGAGAGTGGGCAGCGTCTCGCAGCTACGCGGGGAATGAAAACGCCGCGTGAAGAGGCTGAGCTCAGACCTCGGCGACTGGCATCCCCGGGGGATGTGCCGAGGAGGCCGGACGTCTGTCTGAGTGAGGGAGAAAATCCCTCCTGCGCATCCCACGCTCAATCCGGCGCTGTCCCCCCGGGGATGTCCCACTGGGAGGGACACACAGAGCGCAGCAAGCACAAGATTTGATCCCGTATTTGGGCTGAGGGTCTGGGATGAAAACCAGGCTCCCTGAAGCTCATACAACCGATATTTTTATAAGCTGCACCTCCCGTACTATAAATTTTTCATCTTACCTGCTCTGCAGGTGAATGGTCTGCCTGCTCCCAAATAAAGCTACCGATTTTCCTTCTGATTTCTGCCATGAACAAAAAAATAAATGACGGTGAGAGCACCAAATTGCGGGACTGCGTGGCAGACTCTGCCTCTGCAAGGCTCTGCCTCTCGCAGGTGCTGGTGGAGGCCTGCGGGGGCCCTGGCAGGAGCTCGTGGCACGGCGCTGATCGCAATGCGCCGCAGCGGCTCCGTGTCCGGGTGGAGAGCAGTGACCAGTGCCGTTCCTCAGGGGTCGGGGCTGGGCCCGGCGCTGTTTAACGTCTTTGTCGGCGACACGGACAGTGGGATCGATGCACCCACACAAGTTCACTGACAGCACCGAGCTGTGTGGTGGGGGGACACGCTGGGGGCAGGGGTGCCATCCCGAGGGACCTGGGCAGGCTGGAGAGGGGGGCCCGGGCAAACCTCCTGGGGTTCAACAAGGCCAAGGGCAAGGTCCTGCCCGGGGGTCGGGGCAATCCCCAGCACAAACCCAGGCTGGGCCCTCGAGGAGTGGCTGGAGAGCAGCCCCAAGGAGAGGGACTGGGGGGTTGGTGGGGGGAAAACTGCCCGTGAGGCAGCCCCGTGAGCTCGCAGCCCAGAACCCACCCGTGCCCTGGGCTGCAGCCAGAGCAGGGGGGGCAGCAGGGCCAGGGAGGGGATTCTCCCCCTCTGCTCCGCTCTGGGGAGACCCCCCTGCAGTGCTGGGGCCAGCTCGGGGGCCCCCAACAGCAGAAGGACCCGGAGCTGCTCGAGCGGGGCCAGAGGAGGCCACGGAGATGCTGGGGGGGCTGGAGCAGCTCCCGTGGGGGGCTGGGCTGAGAGAGTTGGGGGGGTTCAGCCTGGAGAAGAGAAGGCTCTGGGGAGACCTTCGAGTGGCCTCCCAGGGCTTAAAGGGGGGACAGGGAAGGTGGGGAGGGACTCTTTATCAAAGGGGTGGGGATAGGATGAGGACTGAGGGGTTTAAACTGACAGAGGGCAGATTTAGGTGAGATCTAAGGCAGAAATTCTTCCCTGTGCGGGGGGCGAGGCGCTGGCCCAGGGTGCCCAGAGCAGCTGTGGCTGCCCCCTCCCTGGAAGGGTTCAAGGCCAGGTTGGACGGGGCTGGGAGCCCCCTGGGCTGGGGGAAGGGGGCCCTGCCTGGGGCAGAGGGTTGGGACTGGATCATCTTTAAGGTCCCTTCCAACCCAAAACCATTCTGTGATTCTATGTTACTATGATAATAGATGGAGAATATAATAGATGGCACATCCTCTGCCTCTGGGGAGGAAGAATGGCTCCCAGCAGAAGGAAATTCCCAACACCTAGAGCAGAAGTAACTGGAGGTTCTGGTTTACACCCCCAAAAGGCTGTGCTCATGGGGGAACCCCCAGAGGAGCAAAACCCTAGTGTTTTGTTTTTTTTTTTTCCCTGACCTTCTTGCAGGCAGGCAGGCGGCAGGATGAAGTGGCCCAGAAACACCAACGGCTTCGCTCCTGCGCCGGTGCTTGCCCACGCAGAGAGGTAACAGGAGTGAAAAACTGTAGCTCTGCCCTCCAAGTAATCGTGGCTCTTGTGTATTCTGGAAGAGAAAAAGGTAGCTGGTTTCCAAAGATAAACTTGAAAAAAAAGAGATAAAATTAGAGGGACATTGTAATTAAAATTGACCTGTTCTGAGATTTTTGCCAAAACCATCTAATTTCCTGTAATTTTCTAACTATGAGATTCTACCAGCAGCATTCCATTACAGTCCCAGCTGCCAGCACCTCCTGAGAGCAGCCTGGAGGAAGGACACCAGGGACCAGGCAAACACCTATTTTTAGGGACTAAATGGCACCGCTCCGCACTCTGCTCTCGAGATGAGATTGGTTCTTCGGGGAGGGGGAAAACATTATTTTTATTTATTTATTCTTAACACCACTGGTGCAGTTCCCGAACAGCAGCGGTGCTGCAGCTGAGCAAGGAAGGGTGGGTGGAGGATGCTCGAGCACTCATCATCCTCTTTAGAGGGGAATTAAATATTGTTTGCCAGGTTTAAGGGTATGGATAATGATTCCAATTTTCCCAATAAATAATCTGAAAATGTGCGTTGAATATATATATGTGTTATATATATATAATCAAACAAAATTCACACTGGGAGAACAACCCAGTCTGGTGGGATGCTGTGGTGGAAGGAAGGTCATTACTCCAGGTTTCTCAGGATTCCCCTCCTGCAGCTGGAGTGGGTGGCTAAAGGATTACAAAAAAGTCTGGGCCAATTTTAAGCAATTGTGTTAAAAGGAGCTGCTTAGTCCAGCCTAGCAAAGCCTGCTGCAAAGCCCTGCAAGAAAGTTCCCTTTCACATAAATATATTATATTGAATGTATATAAATATTCACTAGGTGGAGGAAGACCCTGAATAGCCTTTCCTTATATTTGATCTTGAGCCCCCTGATTCTCTTTTGTATTAAGCAGAAGAAAAACAGAAATTCAGACCTCTTCCAGCCATTTTTAACCCCACACTTGCTTTGAGAGTTAACTCACGCTGGCTTTTTAGTACCTGGTTCCTTCCTTGTGGATGGTGTCACCTGTTTTAGACCCTGAGTTTTCCAGTAGATCAATTTAAAGCTAGTGAGAAAACCAGCTCAATTAGTTTAATTTACATCCGACGTAAGGCAACGCGGGTGGTTTTTGCAGCTGTTTTCTGTTTTTTCTAGCTACCGTTTAGTGTGGGTGTGAGTTTGCAGACCCCACTAAGCAGCAAAACCCCGGCAGACCCGCACCAGGCACTTGAAAAACACCGCCCTGACTTTGAAAGGCTGTCAGCAAACATTAAATACTTCACATTAAATACATGAAAACCGTTCTCTGCGCCTTCATTGGTCTTTCGCTCTGCACCGGCAGGCCGTGGAGAGGGCCCAAGGGGAGCACGAAGGGTGCTGCCGGCTTTGGGGTGACACGGGGGGGGGGGACATGGCCCACCTGCGGGTGTCCGGGTGGGCGGCATCGCTGCTGAAGAGGTAGTCGGCATCCCACCAGTGGGCCAGCACCCCGCCGCCGGCCGCTGCGGGGAGGAAGAAGAGCAGGGTAGGGAGGAAGGTGGGTGCTCCATGGGGTCCCCACCTCCCTGGGACGGGGACAGCCGCCCGGGCTGCCTGTGGGGCCGCAGGGGGAGCTGTGATGGGTTCCCCCCCCCCCCCCCCCGTGGCTGTGGGTCTCCCACCGAGGGCTCTTTTCCCAAATGTGGGGGCACCGTGGCGCTGAGGGGGGGTGGGGGGGGGGGGAACGGCAAACCCCGTGCCCTGCCCCGCCGGGGGGTGACGGGGCTGTGCCCCCACCCCTCAGCCCCGCCGAGGGCGTGTGGCAGCTTTGGGGAAGCCGCCGGGCCCCCCTCACCCCACAGCTCCCGCGGGCGCGGGCTGACGCTCTGCGAGAACCAGGCGCGGTGGCCCCGGAACATCGCGGCGGGGAGAGGAGCCCTGAGGGGCGGCAGCGGCGGGAACCTGAGGGGCGGCGGGGAGAGGAGCCCTGAGGGGCGGCGGCGGGAAGTCCCTGAGGGGCGGCGGAAGAACGAGGAGCCCTGAGGGGCGGCGGCGGGAAGTCCCTGAGGGGCGGCAGCGGGAACCTGAGGGGCGGCAGAGGAACGAGGAGCCCTGAGGGGTGGCAAAGGCGGGAAGTCCCTGAGGGGTGGCATAAGCGGGAACCTGAGGGGCGGCGGGGTGAGGAGCCCTGAGGGGCGGCGGCGGGAAGTCCCTGAGGGGCGGCAGCGGCGGGAACCTGAGGGGCGGCGGCGGGACGAGGAGCCCTGAGGGGCGGCGGAGGCGGGAACCTGAGGAGAGGCGCGGTGCCCCGAGGGGCCGCGGCCCTTTCCAAGGCTTGGCCGCCCCCCTCCCCACCCCTCCGAACCGCTCCGGCAGTGTGAAGAAGCCGCACGCAGGTTTCAAACCGCCCCGTCATGAGGGCTCCCGGCTCCCGCTGCCGTCTCGCTGAGCGCCCCAAAACGCCCGCGGGTGACCCGCGCCCACGCGCAGCTGGGGCAGGGGTGGGGCTGTCCCGGCTGCACCGGGATTTCAACACGGGTGTCCGGGGCGTGTTGGTGCTCCGCTGCCTCTGGAAACCCTCCGCAGTTCTGACCAACTCGTGTGCCCCCCCCGCAAAGAGGACGGGACGAGCTGAGGGCACGGAGGAGACGGCATCTGTGGATGACTTGCCCAGGCAGTGGCAGAGCCAAGCAACGCCCAGCAGCCTCGGTCCTCTCCACTCCTGCTGTCACCCTGTGCCATATTTTTTAATTTCTTCCCCCTTCTGCAGAAAAGTGAAGCAAAAGCCTTCACACTGTGGCCTGCTTCACTGCCTGGTCCCGACTCCTTCCCTCTGTCCCATGGGAGGAGGAATGAGCTCCCTTGGAGATGTTCTGTATTAATTTTCTCTGTAGGTGGTGGAAAAAAGAGAAGGTACTGAGAAGAAGACAACATCTCCTTGCCTGGTTTTCATGTCCCATGCGGTCTGCTGGATCGGAGCCTGGAGCTGCCTGCCAGACCCTGTCCCCTTTGGACGGGGCATGCTTTGTGCTGCGGAGGGAACAGACCATCCTGCCAGGCAGTGTGTGACCACCAAACCTGGTGAATACGGGGCAAATCCAGCCCAGCCAGACGCACGGGAGAGACACAGCCACGGGAGGGCTCAGCCTGCTCTTCTCCATGTTCAGATTTGCTGCACATCTCAGGAAAAACATTTACTAGTGCGTATACCTAAGCAAAGCTGAATATGCTCCAAAAGGTGTCAGCAGTACTGAAAAGTGATACAGAAATCCCTGGTCTTTGATTCTTACTCATTTTTAATCAAGTTTTTACACAAGCTGAAGAATTATTTCTGCTCGCACTCGCCTTCCCACAAAGGACTTGGTAATGCTTGCAATTTAAAGGACAACAAGGTTAAGGAGAGGTGTTAGGCCACATTTATATGCTGTGTGGTGCAGATAAACCCGGCTTGGATGAGCTGAAATGGGCCAGCCTGTGTCAACCAGCCAGGACTGCCCTGGGGCTGTGCAGCCTTCCCCTTGCAGACACTGCATGAACATTTCAGCAAAACCATGCTGTGGATGTCAGCTTTTACCCACCTCGCTGTGGTTTGCTTGCTGGATAGGAAGCAGACAGCAAATATATTCCCTCAGAGCTGGAGCTGTAGGTGGCAGAGCCAGGACTGGATGTGCTGGGACTCTTTTTGCTTGGTTACACTTTTCTGGGAGGATATCTGTGTTCAGCCGTGCATCTTGAATGGTTTTCCCCTCCTCTTGCACCTATTCCTTGAGCTTTTCTCCCTACCACACAGGCAGTGGTGAAGCATTCAAAACACCAAAGAGATGTGACGTTGCAGAAGTAGGTCTTCAAAAAAGTTCTAAGTTGTCCTCCCAGAGAGCTGTTCTCCCATAAATACACTTATTTGGTTAACTCCAGGAAATAGTTTGCTTGCAGCAAAATTGCTTGTATTTCATAAAGCACAAATGAGGCTTGTTTTATGCTCAAACTTGCCAAGATATCCCTCAACAACTCCAACCCCTGGGAACTTCAGCTGAAAAACCAGCAGCAGTGGTGCAGCTACACCCCAGGTACCTTTGGACCCCAAGGATGCCTGATAAAACAGAGAAGGTTTTTCTAGATATGGTCATGAAAGTCATATGTTAATCAAAATTAGTCAACTTCTGGGATTGCCATATGTTGTTCTCCCCTGGAGGGGGGGATTTTTGAGTAAGCCATCAAAATATTTCCTAAGAAAGACCACAAAAATCCCACAGATGCAATCAGGGCAAAGACTTCCCTGGTGTGGGAACATGTTGATTTATGTTTCCTCTGGAGATGTGGTCACCTCACGTTGCCTGTGCCACAGCATCTCTAGCTTCTGCAGTCGACACCGTTTGTGCCCTAATTAGGATGAAGTTTTCCTGTTGCTGTGATGCACCTAGCCATTGCTCTCCAATGCTCTTGAGGATGGCAGAGGTGAAGCCGAGGTGGTGGTGGGCACTTTGGCAGCTTTCTGTGATTCAGAGGAGGTGGCCAGGACATGGTCCACAGCTCAAGCCACCTTGGGCTCTCACAGCAGGCTGTGCTGCTCTGCTGGGGTCTCTGGAGAAGTCCAAACCTTTTCCTCCCACCCAGACCACCTCCTACCCCAGAAGGACCACCGCTGGGGCTGGTGCAGCCCCTGGCCTGTCCCCAGAGCATGGCTGGCCTTGCAGGCTGAGCTGTGTGGTGGCTCCAGCGAGTCCTGCTGTACCACGCTGCGTGATGAGCGTTTTGCATGACCACCCATCCATGACAGCCCCACCTCTCCTGGTCTGAACACTCCTCTAAGGGGATCCCTGTAACTAGTCCCTTCACCCCAGCAACCTCCCACCCGGCTGTTGGAACTGCAGCAGTTTGGATTTTCCTAATCCTTAACAGAAAACATGGTTCGAATGGAAAAATGCTATGAAACAAGCCAAGATGCCTCAAAATCTCGTCACACCAGTCACAGCAAATCTCAGCATACCCAAGAGGAGACATGCAATAGATCACGCTCGCTGGGTTGCCAGGAATCTTTGTTCACATACATGAGATCCACACGGATTATATCCTTCTGGATTCAACACTCATCAGTCAATCACAACGATTTCTTCATCAAAAAAAAGCAGGCTGATGGATTCTACCAAGTAGCAGCATTTTTGGGCAGTGCCATCAACCCCTGAAGGTACAGTGGAAGACCAACCCCCAAGAGGACTTCTCTGTGGGGTCAGCCACTTACGGAAGAGAAAAAACAGAAATGAAAGTCACCAACACACACATCAGCTTCCCCTCGGCCCCACTTCACACCACTCCCCCCACCAGCAGCCTCAGCTGGAGTTCTCCCCCTCAAAGTGGACCCCACATCCCACCCGTCACTCCTCTTCCTCTCACCCAGCTTTAAGATCAGACTCTTGTCCCCAAGGTTACTTTGTCCTTTTGTTTAACCTTGTGCCTTCCCTTCAGAGCCCCACAGGAGCCTGTGGCCAGGCAGTTCCCCCATAAACCAGATAAACCTTTAATATATTTTTTTTTTTAATGGAAAAAAGTGTTCCTGCACCTTCTCAGTGGGATAAAAAAGTGCAACTAAGCGCAGTGTCGCCATGTTCCAAGATCCACCCACAACCTAGACCAGCTCAGGGTGCCATATGACTCTGAAGAAACATTTTCAGGACCCCACTGAAGTCCTCTAATTTTATTGAGATAAAAATAGTGTACAGTTTAGAGCACTGAAAAGCTACAATTATTTTTTTTTAAATCAGCAATGCAGACATTTATACCTACGTGCTCACATGCTGCTTTGTGTAAATTGTATTTTAGCAGTAAGCTTTATTAAAGAAGGAATTCCGCAGCGAAGCCAATTGCTCTTCATCTTATCAAGTGAGATGTGAAGAAGGGAGAGCAGCTCAAGATTTTGACTCGCAAGGCAAAATTTTTTAGACCTGCATGGGAGAGAGGAGATTGAAATCAGTCACTGTTCACATCTTCAGCTGTAATTATTTTAAGAAAAAAAAGGGTTTCCCACAAGGCAACTCCAACTGCAGAGTCCCAGCTGCAGGCAGACCCACCTTCCAATTATATTTAGATAAAAATCCTGCAGAAAGCGCTTGGTGGGGGTTCAGAGTTCAACAAGCAATCCTCTGCCAACACGAGCCCTGCTCTCCACCCCAAGCACCAGCTGCACAGATATTCTCCCTTTATCCTGCTCTCAGCTCCTCCACCCCAGCTCAGTAAATCCTTGTCCCCGAAGTCCCACCTCCATCCACGCCTGGCACCCCACGCCACCGGTGACCATCACACCGACATCCCGCCAAAGCCACCGCACGCCACGCTGCCGTGTGGGCACAGCGCGCCCCAGGGCCAGGTGTCCATCCCCACTGCCCCAAAGCGAGTGACAAACCAGAGGAGCGGCTGTATATAACTCTTCAGAGCTCCATTACCTCCAAGTGTCTGTGCTGCATCGAATCACGGGTCCGTTTACCTCAGCAGCCCGTCTCAAGCAGCAGTTAGAAGCGAACACTTAGGTGCTTACAGCATCCCTTCTAATAATGCTTCCAACCCAACCATTTCTGGCTCTGGGGGAATCTCCTGAGCTTTTCCCCAGCATCACACCTCAGCTTTTCTGCTGAAAATTATGAGCTATCTTCTCCTGTTGTCCCCCGCAAGAAAGACGGTTGACTGACCTTCATTTTCTCATTTCCCTGGAAGCCTAACACCCCTTCTAGCCTTTGCTGCTGGAGATCTTTAGAGGGAGAGCAGCATGAGACAGCGAGAAGTAAAAGACTCTGCTCCATCTACATCTTCCCAAGAAGAAATGCCCAAGGCAGGTTTTCTGATTTACAAAGTTCATCTGACTCACGATTCTGTCGGTCTAAAAGCCAACAGTAACATCTTCTGGTCCAATGTGAGGGACATGTCAAGTGAGGTCCTGCCACGACTTGTCCTGGGCACAGTTAATAATTATCCAGCCTCTACCCAGGAACTTAACTAAAGCATTTCAACCAGCCCTGCAACTATGTCAGATAGGTCACATACCTTTAGTTTTCCTTTCCCTATCAAGAGTTAAACTAGTATTTACCCAAATGCTAAGTCCAGATCAGTTATGCTCAAGTAGTCTGAAGAACCTGGAGCCCTCAGACTGTGAGACAGCAGTGAATAAAACCAAGACTGCTTCTGGTTTTTCAGCAAGACATCGATTTTGTGCCTCATAAATCCCACATTACCGAGCCGACACGCTGCCTGCCGCAGGGTTAACCAGTCTGCCTCCCCCCTAAGTCACCAGGATTTCCGGGTACGGCAACTTCCTCCTCACCCGACCAAACACAGCACCCCCGGAATTACATCTGGCAGACACAGCCAAGACACGCGAGGAAGTTTTGCTCCAAGGAACTCCTTTCCTTTGAGCAAAGGAGACTCTTGTAGGCAAGGTGTAGCTGAGAACTGGCTAAAACAGTGGCTAGAAAGGGTGTGGGAACAGCCTTGCTCCCAATCAGCAGCAACACTATTTTTTTTTTATTTTGGGGTGGTTGCTTTTTTAACTCAGCTCTTCAAGCTACCCGTTTCCCCCACAGAGGAAGCGGCCCGTGCTCCCCTTATCAGCATAGCATGGAGCATCAGCGTAACTCACCATGATCATCTGATCATCCCAGACACAGCTCAGAAGTCTGAATCTGCAAGGAAGAAGAGCAGAGCGTTAGGCTTCGGGGCAAACAGCACCTCCTCTCTCCCACCACCACAAGCCCACCCCTGCTAGAACCAGCCCCTGGGCAGTAACCAGAGAGTTGCCTTTGTTCGGCTGGGTCACTGTCATCTACGTCCTTCTTTATAGTCACCAAAAGCAAAAAAAAAAAAAAAAATCACTGCACAGCCCATCTTTTTCTAGGCAAGTTCACCCAGAAAGAGATCAGAGTGCTCCCCTAGGAGTCGCCAGGCACAGCATAACCAGACCACACCAAGGCAAGTCTTCCCTGTCTGCTACTACCGAACGCTTTCACGGGCGCGCAGACGCAGCCTTCTCAGCATCCCAGCTGAAACCAAGTTCATTTTCCACCTACAGCACAAGACCTTCAAAACCCATCCTGCTATAGCACCCCGCTTCCTAAGAAGGGGAACAGAGACACTGTTGGGTATAAATTAACAAGCCGTGGCTTCTGCATATGAACTTTTCTGAAAAAAAAAACAAACAAACAAAGACTTTTTTTTTTTTTTTCTGCAAAGCTTGAAGAGGAAGGTGCACCATACCCCATCGGAAAGACTGCGGCTCGCGGAAGGCAGAATGGGCCACCCTGCAAACGTAGACGTCGCCCTTCTGGGGGGTGAAGGGCGCGTACACCAGGCGCTGGAAAGCCCACTTGTCATCGAAGGTCATGTCCGCGTACTTGACGCCGCTCATGGGCTCCCCGTTCTTCAGGAGGGTGATCTCGATCTTCGGAGGGTGGAAACCACTCACGAAGCAGTTGAGGGTGTTCTGCTGTCCGTCTGAGGCATGGCTGCGGGAGTACACCTCCACTTTCGGCGGTTCTGGAGAGGAGCAGGCGGGGGGCGGTGAGAAACGGGGGGGGGGGGGGGGGGCCGCGGGCGGTAACCGGGGGCGGGTAACCGGTGCTGGGCGCCTCCCTCACCCCCCCCCCCCCCTTTCACACCGCCTCGGGCACTCACCAAACGGCTCCCCCAGGCCGGCCAGCGCGATTAGCACCAGGACGCCCGCCCGCACCGCTAGCCCCATGGCTGCTAGCCCCATGGCTGCCAGCCCCGCGGCCACCACCCGCTCCGCTCCCCTCACGGACTGGCCCGCCCCTCTCGCCTCGTCGCCTTTTATAGCCCCCTCGGCGGGCGGCCAATCGCGACGCGCAGCTGCCCGCGCGTCACCAGTCTCCGGGCAGAGAAGGCGCGGAGAGGTTTACCCGAGCCCGCCCTTCGTGCCTGCGGTCCCTTTCGCTTTCACTTTCGCTTTCCGGCCTGAGGCACCGCCCGGGCCCGGAGCCGCCCCGGGGGAGGGGGGGGGGGGGGGGCTTCCCGCCTTCGGGCTTCACCTCAGGGCTGGAGGGAGCAAAGGCATGAGGTGTCGGTGCTTACCTGTCTGCTGCTCCTCGCCAAAAAGCAGGTAAAAACCACCTCTCGTGGAGGGTTTTGCAGCCGGGGCCAGTGTTACGCCAACAGCCAACACTGGCACAGCCTGGCCGCCTTCCTTTCGGAACGTCGGCTTGCTTTCTTTCCAAGCTTGGGCGTCAGCATCTCTGTCTGGCAGCAGTGGGATGGGTTGACTCTGCCTGTCTGAGTGCAGCATGCACTCCCTGACGTCAAACGCTAGAACCCAAAAGTCAAAGAGAGGTTTGCTGCTGACTAAAAAACACAACTAGGCTGACTATGACTCTGTGTGGCCCTGTGACACTGCTTGAAGGAGAGGTGTATAGCAGCATTAAGAAAACCAAGGTTAAAAAAGGAAAATGAATGAGCGTTTGAGAGCACGCAGATATTCTGTACACTTAGGAACTTGTCAGCTTGTGGTCCTACAGGTCGCATACTGCTTTAGTCGCTCTTTCCGTCGGGGAGGCAGATACACATATATTGTCTTCCATCCAGCTGTAGGAGGATTAAAAAGTTAAAAAAACAGAAAAGAAAAGAAAGGAAAGTCACCACTGGTGGGGAGGAAACAGCAGTATCGCAGAGCTCTGCTAACACTGGGTCCCTTTAAGACTTGCCATCTTAATACATCCTATTCAAAGACCTAACTTATATCAATAAAGCATGTACTGAGAACATCCCCCAACCCAAGGCAGCAGGAAAATCAGTAGAGTCTGAGCAAAATAGAAAACCTGCAAATACTTGTTATCAGTCCCCACTGGACCAGCCCTGAAAAGAACTCTTGCTACATTTGCTGGCAGGCGGCACTGGTGGCCATGCAGGTGCTGTTGAGTGTTTTCACTGAGAGATAAGGGGACACAGCTGCTGCCAGGGCCTTATCAGGGGTCTTGGGGCTCTCACGGAAATAAGCCCCGGCTGCTGTGTCAGCAGCCTCAGAGCCTGGACCTCGGGCTACTCTGTCTCTGCTCAGGTCAGCGATCCCTGGCTTGATGAAGATTAATTATACAAATAGGTGATTGCAGAACACGGATCCTTTCTCCGCACTGACACTCAGGGACGGAAATCCCTGGAGATGACTCTGCCATAACCAGCAACACCCAGCAGGCTTTCCCCATACAGAATAACTGAACCACAAGTTCCTTCCATGTGATGTTTCTAAAAGGCCACACTGATTTGGTTAGAGCAGGCAAACCTTCCTCTTTTAGGGTGCTTCTGCTTTTATCAGGAGAAATATTGAAGGAGTGGCTGAAGCCCAACATGACCAATGGGCTCCCAGCATCCAGGGGGATGAGGGCAGCCTACTGTGCATCGCCGGACACGGAGATTTACAGCATCTCCGCCTTAGTTTTGCCCCCCTGCGCTTTCAAATCCACGGCCGTAAATCTCTGCGGCACTCTTTGAGCTGCAGCCGCCGCGTCCCACTGGGTTTCCGCAGCTGCTCGGAGGGGCACGGGCTCAGAAACCGCGAATGCTGGCAAGGAGTGATGAAAACAGTCGGGCTGGGGTTCCCTGTGCCCTAAAAGACGCCGGTGTTTGCCGTTTTACACCCCACCGTTCGCGGGTGGGCTTCATTAAGCCTCATCCACTCCCACGTGGGGGGGGGGGGGGGGGGGGAAGGCGCGGCGACGCGACGCGACTGCGCAGGCGCGGTGCTCCGCTGGGCGCCGCCATGCTGTACGGCGGGCGCATGCGTAAAAGGCGGCGGCGGGGGCAGCGCGGCCCCGTGGCGGGAGGAGCGCGGGGGGTGGGCGGTGCCGCGGCATGGCGGAGGGCGGCGAGCTGCTTGTGAGTGCCCGCCCCGCCGCCTCTCCCGGCGCTGCCTCTCTGCCGAGCGGTCGGTACCGGGGAAGGCGGTGCCCTGGAGGTGCTGGTGGGGTTGCCCTTCCCTGCTTCGTGCTCGGGGCGCTGTTTGCGCCCCGGGGAGCGGGGGGGGCGTTCACTCTGAAGCCTAACGGTGTCCCTGAGCGCCGGCCACGCTGGTGTTGTGCGGTGGCGGCATCCCCTGCGCTGGCAGGGGTCGCCTTCGGGTGGCTGCAGCCCTAGTCCTGGCAGGCTTCGATGGGCTCCTGCCTCATGCAGAGCCAGCAGGTCCTGCCCTCAGTGGCTCCCGCTGTTCCCTTTCCAGCTGCAGAGCCCTGGGGGCTGCCCGGCACCACCAGTAGGGTGTGGGGGGAGGTTGGGTGCCCCCCACTTCAGGAGCGTGTGAGGGTTACCTCTCCCTTAGCAGGGACCCTGCTGCTTTCCACTCCAGATCCTCGAGGACTACCTGCTGGTGGAAGATGCACCTCTGCTGGAGGAGATGGCCGAGGAGGATGAAGAGTTTGACCTGTACAACGAGATGACTTTTGGGTTAGGTAAGATCTCAGGGGTGCCCCAGTGTTGGGGAGACCAGCCAGCACCCAATGAGGTGAGGAGGATGGAGGCGGGGAGGTGAAGAAGGTGTCTTCCTGCCCGGTGAGGAGCTGGGTTGGGAGCAGGGACCCCAGTGGGCACTGACCAGGCTCTCGCCCACCCTGATGCACTCTGCTTCCCCCCTCCAAGACCGAGACTCCACTGAGGAGGATGCTGCAAAACCCCATATGCTACTGGAGACAAGCCCTGAGCTGGGCGAAGCAGTGGCAGAGGAGACTGAGGCTGGGGATAAACCGGAGCCCGGAGTGACTGAGCAGACCAAGGAGCTGGGAGAGCCCCAGGAGGATGCTGAGATGGAGCTGGAGGTCGATTTGGAGGAAGAGGAGGAGGAGCTGGTGACTGAGGAACTGGAGGAAGAGCAGGAGCCCTGTGAGGAGCCCAATGACCTGGGAGACCCGGCGGTGATGAGAGCCGTGCAGAGCAAACCCACGCTGGAGGTGATGGGCGAGGGGAGAGGGAGGGGACCCATGCCTGGCAGGCGGAGGGGCTGGCAGGGACCTGCTGCTTCCCCCTCCATCCTCACGCCTGTGGGTCCTGCCCCATGGAGGGCACAGGCAGGTAGCTTAGTCCCTGCCCAAGGGAGGAAGATCTGCCATGCCAGGGCTGGCTACGTGCCTGTAAACCTCGTCTTTGCTTCCAGAGCCAGGACTCGGCAGTGCTGGACAGCAAGATTGGTGCTTGCTGGGCAGAGTTTGACAAAGAGGACGTGGTAAAAGTGTTCCCTCCCATCTGGTGACGAGGCTGAGTGGCCCCTGCGGTGTCCCCTGCCCCCTTTCCTCCTGTCCTTCCCCGTGCTGACCATCTTCCTGTCTTCCAGCTGGCGATGGATCCTGCGGAGTGGGGCTCCTGCCCCGGCAGCCTCCCGCCCCACCACATGCTGGAGGTGGGTATCCCCAGCTCGGCCCTCGGGGAGCAACCGAGGGCTCCCCAGTAATACCCTGAGCCAGGGGTCGTGCGGGTGATTTGGGGTGACTGGGGGACCTCCAAAGCCTCGTCACAGGTGTCTGGAGGTACACGGTTGTGTCTCTTGGGTGTCAAGGCTGTGGGTGGAGATGACCACGCTAAGCCGAGCCTGGGTTTGAAGGCAAAGCTGTTGAGTCTGGGGGGACTGGAACCCCCCATGCCAGGTGCCCCCGTGGGTTTGCACGCTGCCAGGACGGGAGCGTGGCTGGTGCATGGTCTGGCTGAGCAATGACCAAAGGTTTTGGTGAGCTGCCTGGTGCTGGGGGAGCTAAATTAATCCCAGCTGGGCCCCGTTCCCATCTCCTGCTGCCTCCTCCCTGCAGGATAAAGCCATCCTCCAGGTCCTGGGGAGGCCTCCACCATCCACCAAGGTGGCCCTTGACTTCCGTGGCTCCCCTGTGCGGAGGGGCTATGGGGGCTCTCCCCGGGTCAAGCGCCCCAACTTAAGACTGATGTCTCCCAAGTCCTTCCCCCAGCGCTTTCTCCAGCAGGTAACAGTTTTTCAGGGGGCTCTTCTGTCCCCTTTTTCTCTGCCCTTCCCTCCCCAAAGATGCAGCCTTAAGGACAGGCTTGCCTCAGTGACACCTTCTGTCTCCTGCCCCGCAGCAGTCGCCTCTGATGCCACTCTCCCCATGCTCCCCTCGGTCCTTCACGCCGGCTCACAGACCCTCTCAGCTCTTCACTTCTAACCAGGTAACGCAGCGGCCAGAAAGCCACTCGCGTGTCCCCTCTGGGGTGGCCCTGGAGTGACAGGGGATGGGGACAGTGCCTCCCCAAAGCTCTGCCCTCCGGGGCAGACTTTGCAGCTCTGTCTAAGCCTGAGCATCCATCTCCAGCATCTTGCCAATGGGGAAAGTGGAGCCACAGTGTAGCTGTTCCTTCATAAATCTATTTGTCCTGATGTCCCCACAGGACCTGCACGGGGCATTTATTGTGCTTGGTGTCATGCTGCAGCACCAGTGATGGACCTGGGGCACGCAATCCCTGGTGACACCTGGGTCCCCTTGCCTTACTCGGCTATAGTGGCAGGGTCCGGGGGGGTGTATCACCTTGCTGTGGTGCCCCACGCGTCCCCTCCGTGCAAGGAGAAGGTGCCCTCTGCGAGGGTGGGAGCCAGAAGCCAGCATGAAGCTGGCAGGACCCCTCTGGAACCCTTGGAGGGGAAGGCTCAGACACTTGATCGCTTTTCTCTCCCTCTCCAGACCACAGGGTATGCGTCTTCGACCTCTTTCCGGCCCCTGTCACCCAACATCAGCAGCCCGCCGCAGTCTCTCACCATGCACTTTGGACCCATATCTCCCTCTTTGGACCCCGCTCTCTTCTTCAGTCCATCAGCCAGTGGCCAGCTGAACCTCAGGTAGCGGGATGGCGAGTGGGGTGCCCAGGTGGGACTGGAGGAGCCCCACAGAGCAGCTGATGGGGTGTCCCCACTCTGAGGATGGCTCTAGTGTGGGTGCTGAGCCCCCTGACCCTGCTCTGGTCTCCTTTGCAGCCTGCCCAGCCATTTGACCCAGCTGCACCCCCAGCACCAGAGGATCCTGACCCAGAGGCAGCAGCAAGGCGGGCGGGCGCAGAGGTAAGGGGAGCCGTGGGGAGCTGCGGGGTGGTGTTGGGGCTCTGGGCTGTCACAGCAGGCTGTGATCCTCTCCCATTCCAGCATCTCCCCCAGGAAGCTGTGGTCTCCTAATGTGGACCCTTATGTCGGACTGATGACCTCCAAGGAGAAGGACTGGGTTGTCAAGGTGGAAATGATCCAGCTGCAGAGTGAGAACATGGATGATGACTACTACTACCAGGTGAGCTCCTGCTGGCAGCACCTGTGGCTCTATTCTGCTCCTCAGCACCTGTGGCTCTATTCTGCTCCTCAGCACCTGTGGCTCTATTCTGCTCCTCAGCACCTGTGGCTCTATTCTGCTCCTCAGCACCTGTGGCTCTATTCTGCTCCTCAGCACCTGTGGCTCTATTCTGCTCCTCAGCACCTGTGGCTCTATTCTGCTCCTCAGCACCTGTGGCTCTATTCTGCTCCTCAGCACCTGTGGCTCTATTCTGCTCCTCAGCACCTGTGGCTCTATTCTGCTCCTCAGCACCTGTGGCTCTATTCTGCTCCTCAGCACCTGTGGCTCTATTCTGCTCCTCAGCACCTGTGGCTCTATTCTGCTCCTCAGCACCTGTGGCTCTATTCTGCTCCTCAGCACCTGTGGCTCTATTCTGCTCCTCAGCACCTGTGGCTCTATTCTGCTCCTCAGCACCTGTGGCTCTATTCTGCTCCTCAGCACCTGTGGCTCTATTCTGCTCCTCAGCACCTGTGGCTCTATTCTGCTCCTCAGCACCTGTGGCTCTATTCTGCTCCTCAGCACCTGTGGCTCTATTCTGCTCCTCAGCACCTGTGGCTCTATTCTGCTCCTCAGCACCTGTGGCTCTATTCTGCTCCTCAGCACCTGTGGCTCTATTCTGCTCCTCAGCACCTGTGGCTCTATTCTGCTCCTCAGCACCTGTGGCTCTATTCTGCTCCTCAGCACCTGTGGCTCTATTCTGCTCCTCAGCACCTGTGGCTCTATTCTGCTCCTCAGCACCTGTGGCTCTATTCTGCTCCTCAGCACCTGTGGCTCTATTCTGCTCCTCAGCACCTGTGGCTCTATTCTGCTCCTCAGCACCTGTGGCTCTATTCTGCTCCTCAGCACCTGTGGCTCTATTCTGCTCCTCAGCACCTGTGGCTCTATTCTGCTCCTCAGGGCTGGGACTTCATCTCTTTTGGGAGCTGGAGGGTGCCAGGGCTTGTGGTGCCTCCCCTCCTGGCTATGACTGTTGTTACAGACATACTACCACCGGCTGGAGAACAGACAGGCAGAGGAGCTGCTTGGTGGGCGCAACAAGCAGGAGCCCCCCAAGCTGGTCACGCCATTCATCCAGAAAGTGGAGACCTATGACTCTGGTGAGGGGCTGGAGTGGGCAGTGTGGAGGGGGGGGCAGATGAGGTCTCGCAGGACCGTGGTCTCCCCTTACCCCACCTCTCTCTTCCAGTGGTGCGCATTGCAGGCTCGCTGGGCCAGGTTGCGGTGTCCACCTGCTACAGCCCTCGCCGGGCCATCGATGCTGTGCACCATGCTCTCGTGGAGGAGGTAGGTGAGGGGAAGCTGGGCTGGTTGGTGCCCAGAGATGCCGCCCTGAGCTTTTTCCAGGCCCTGGAGCAGCTTTAGCAGGAGCTTTTAGAGCTGCTGCCACTTGAGCATGGGTGCTGCTCTGAGCTGGAGGATGGGGCACACAGCTGGAGCAGGTGCCACCTCGGTGGTGGCAGCCTGTCCCCTGCTAAGGGGTGGGATGGGGCTCTGGGCAGTCAGAGCTGGCCGTGGCCTCCCCGTGGGATTGCTCTGTATCCTGAAGCTGCCTCAGATTCCTAGGGAGCAGCTGGCCCAGCTACTCTGCTGGTGGCAGTGTCTGGTGCTGGCTGTAACTTGTGACCTGTGCCTTCCTTTCTCCCCTCCTGAAGGCTGCGGGGAGCCACCGGCTTCGGGCGCTGCACAGGATTGAGAAGGTGAGCAAGCTGCGATTCGGGGCAGGGCAGGGTAACACAGACGCTTGGTTTTCATCCAAGGAGCTCTCTGAGGGGACACCTACCTGGGGCAGGGGTCCTGGATAACCAGTTGGTAGACGATGCTCCAAGCTGCCCCCTTACCCTGTGCCATTTCTCCAGCTCTTCCTGCAGCTGCTGGAAGTGGAGGAGATGCAGCGGAAAATGCCCGTGGCCCTGGAGGACCAGCAGCCCTGCTCTCGGGAGCAGAAGAGCCAAGAAGTGGAGCGTATCTACCAAGCCTTGAAAATCATGGCTTGCGGCAGAGAAGAGTGAGTCTGTGCTACGGGGAGAGGGGAGTGGGCAGCACGTCCTGGTCCTTGCAGGGCTCAGAGGGTCACGGAGGAGTAGTTCTGGGTGACGGTGAGCATTGGATCTTGTCCTCTGTGCGTCACCGTGGTCTGTGCTGACACTGCCCATGGGCCTCATCCTTCACTAGAGCTGGTGCTGGTCCTTCTGAATGGACAGAGATGCTGCAGGGGATCTGTGCCAATGGAGCCTTTGTCCCCAGGGAGGCAGAAGATGAATTCTTGCAACTCCTGTGTGTACAGAAGGGCAAGAAGCTCATGGCCCGGCTGCTGCCCCATCTGACCCAAGAGCAAGCGGAGAAGATCCTGCTGACCATCACCCACCACCTGCCCTTCCTCATGAAGAAGGATGTGTTGGACCAGGCAAGCACCTCCAGCCAAGGCAGGGGCACCCCGGGCTGCCTCAGTTCCCTGTTGCTTTTGCAGGGGGGTGCACCCTGGGCAATGGGGGGGGCCCATTTTGCTGAGTCCCAGCATGGCCAGGCAGCTAGTGGGTTTGATATGAGGCAGGAGCCTATTTTCTTCCCCGAGGAGGGAGAGGTTAAAGAAGGCCCTGATGGCAGTCCCCCTGTTCTGGGTGGGTGCAACATTGACCCTTGTGTCTATCTCAGGTGTTGGGATGGGGATGTGGCCATGATGGGTCAAACAGTCTCATATCCCTGTTCTCCCCTCTGCTCTGCCCTGCCCAGTCTCTCTCCCTGCTCTACAGCCCGTTGAACAAGGTGGTGGACGGGATGACCTTCAGCAAACTCCTTGAGGTCCTGCAGGAGATGACCAGGCCTCTGTCTGAGTCCCCTGAGCTCCCCCTCGCCATGGCCTTGAAGAACCAGGTAGGTGACCCCAAGGAGGGGGGCCTCAGGGTGCCACTCCCACCAGCAGTGACATTCTTCCTCATACTTCCCTGCAGTTTGGGATCTCCTTGCTCTATTCCCTGCTGAGCCACGGTGAGAGGCTGCTGTCCTCCGACGTGCCGCTGCAGCCGTGTGGTGGGGACTTCGAGATGTGGTGAGGGGCTGTGCAAACAACGGGGTTGGGGTTCGCTGGCTGGTGGAATGCTCACCCCTCTGCGTTAATGCCCCCAGGACGGACACGGTGTTCCTGGTCGCCCGGGAACTGTCGCAAGTGCCCAGGGCCTTGCTGGTGGAGCCTCTCTTCTTGCCCAGCAACCTTCTCTCGCTCTTCTGCCGCTACCTGGACAAGCAGACCGTCCACCATCTGGAAGCCAAGATGGAGTGAGTACTGACTGATGTGGCTCCCTGCTTCTCCCAGGGATTCCTCAGATGCAGTGGGTGGCATTGGGGGCTCACTGCTTTCGTCCCCTTGGGGGGGGACCCCATTGGACACAATTCTCCGAACCTCCACTGGGCTGAGCTGAGCCTTGTGGCTTTGCTCCTGTTTTTAGCGATCCTAGGACCATGCTGGCTGACACTGGGTTTTGTGTTCACCACACCTTGATGGCATGTCCCCGTGGGATATATCAAAGTTTGAGGGGGGGTGATAAGCTGGGAGGAACCCCCCCCAGCAATTTAGCCAACATCTCTGGAGCACGTTGGGGTGGTTGGGCAGGCAGGATCTGGGCAGCTGCCAGCATTGTGTGTGTGACAAAACAACCTGATGCTCCAACCTCGTCCTGTCCCTGCAGGTGCTCCCCGCTGCTCTCGGAGGCTGCCATGCCGTGCTGAGCCCCGGGAGCTGGGAGCAGGAGCTGGGGCCAGTGGTGCCGGGAATGGGCAGGGCCCGATGCCGTGACAAGAGTTTCGAAGCGAGCACTTTCTCTGGTGCAGGGCACTCTGGGTGAACTGGGCACTGGCAGGGCTGGCGCTCGAGGGCAGATGCCGACCTGCCCCGGTGCCTGGGAGCACAGCACGGGGAGGCAGGTAACTTATTTTGGCCTCGCACCCAGCAGCAGTGAGTGATGGCTCATGGTGGGTGTCGAGGCGGGGTCTGCACAGGGGCGCTGGGAGCACCTGGGGATGAGTGATTTTGTGTACAGCACTTGAAATACAATAAAAAGGTGATTAATGAGCTCCTCTGGCTCCTGTGGGCAGCTTCTGCTGTAAGCACAGGGCTCCTGGAGGCATCACCTGGGCATGGAGACCCCTGGGTGGGGATACGAATGTGTGCAGTAAGGGGAAAGGAGAAATAGGGAGGGATGTGCAGAAGACCCAGAAAGAGAATGGGGGAGAAGGCAGTGTGCTTAGAAGGGGATTGGAGGACCTATGTGGCTGGGGCCAGAGGAGAACTGAGCCCTCCAGGGAGAGGAATGGCCTGGAAGGAAAGAGATGTGGGGAAGATGGGGTCAGAGCTTGCCCAGAAGGGAAAGGAAAGATCTGTATATGCAGAAGAGGGCATCTGGGTGCATGTGGGAAGGATATGGGGCATCTTGAACATCTGTGGGTGGGTAATAATGCACCTCTTCTCTCTGAACTCTCAAAGGCTAATTAGTCTAAAGGCTTGCAGACTTGATGATGATGAATTTGCTTCGAAGCATCTTGAGCCACTTTAACTAGCCATGACTACCCCAAACCGACCCTCACTTCTGCATCCAGGGGTAGGGTTGTGCTTAGGTGTAATATCTGGTCTCACTGTAGAAATCGTTGTAATTCCTGCCTGGCTAATGGGACATCTGAACCTAGGACATCTATGCTTAAGCACCTGGATGTCCATCCAGAGGTCTAAACGTGACACCCAAAGCCTGGTGTATATTCAGAAGAGGTTTGCACAAGAAAATTGTCTCATCCTCAGTGATAGCTACCACATGTGCCCAAGCTCCAACCCTGTGTAGATGAGAGTAGATGAAACTATTCCCTTAAACTGTTAGGGGGGGATTTATCTCCACTGCTTATCAAGACAGCTCATGTCTCTGCTTCTGAAACACGTGTCAGAGGAGCAACTGAGATGCCTGAATGCTGCTGTAGAGAGGAGAGGTGCTGCAGATGTGATGCAGGGCCTAGGGGGCACTCCTGCCCTGTGTGCTAGATGCAGGGTGTAAGCTCTCAGTTGTCCAAAGGGGTGTGAGCTCCAGATCATTCTGGCAGCTTCCTGATGCCTGTCCTGCTCATCTTGGTGTCCTACGGCCTCAGCCTTTTTTCTGCCCTCAAAACCAGGTTTGCCAAAAGCAGGATCAAAGCCTTCTCCACTTTCTTCTCACGCTTTATTGTTGGAAAGTTCTTTGGGACAGTTATGTTCATCCTTACGCATCCCTGGCCATCCATTGCTATGTCACTTGAAAAGAGTGTCACTGGCAGGTTGTCATCAAGGTGAAACCCATAATTTCAAACCCCCTGAGGCAATCTGGGAGGATACCTGTGTGGTGACACAACTGCAAGCAAAAGGATGCACCTCTACAAACCCTAGAGACAATTTCAGGCAGAAAGGAACTGGCAGCTGCTCACTGATTTGTAGGAAGAGAGGAGTACACCAATGAGTCCTTCAAGATAAGGATAAACTGTGTTATGTTTTCAGTTTGCAACAGAGCAGAGCACAGACCTAGCGCTGCCTGAGAGCCAGTGTGGATGAAGGAAGAAAGTGCGACATGGCTGTGATCATATATGAAACCAAATGTTCCAACATAGAAGGGATGGAGGGCTCTGCTGGACTTTTCTGCTTTGTTGCAGGAAACAGATGAGACGAAAGAAAATCCATCTCTTGTGGTTTCTCTCTCACAACTGAGGGACCTGAACCACCCAGCATCTCCCCTTGATGCTGCTTACCTGGAGAAAGAGACCCTCTCCCTGGGGTGCCACCTCAGCTGAGGGGTGTCTGGCAGCTCAGGGACCCCGTCTGGTTTTACCCACAGTTAGATCTTCTCCCTGAACCCAAAGGTGATGAAAGTCCAGGGTCTCTCACTTAGTTCTGCTTTATCTACTGGCCTGCCTGTCTTCTCCTGGCACTGTTCTGAAGGAGGCATCAGCCCCAGGGGGTGGTGGTGACAAGTCACCGTGAGTGAATGACTGGACCATGGGCTGTCACTGCCTCGGGGATTTGGGGCTTGTCCTGCGAGGTCTTCAGGGTATGGGACTCAGCCTGAGACATCTTGGGGGTTATGGGACTCATCCTGGGGTGCAGGGAAGAGCGTTTCAGATTTGCACGTGACTATTAAGAAGAGGTGGGGTGGTTTGTGGCGGTGTCGCTTCTCTTAGGCTGCTCCTGAAACCCCTTGACCTGAACAGGCGGCCATCCCAGTCAGGGTGTGGGGCAGATGATGGTTGTCTTGGTTGAGGTGTTGGGGGAACTGCGGCCACCGCGGTTGGGGCACTGAGGGGCTGCCTTGGAGGTCGGGGATCCCCAGGAGGGTGCCCATCTTGGTTGAGACATCAAAGGCACCGTGGCGTCGGGGTCAGGGCGGCGAGGGGTCGGTGGTTATCTCAGCTGGGGCACCCTGGTTGAGGGGATCACGACTATCACGACTGGGGTACTGCGGGGAGCGTGGCCATCTTGCTGGGTGCTGTGAGGGGACCACTGCCCTTCTCGGTCGGGGCACTGAGGGGACCGTGGCCCTCTCAGTCGCGGAGGGGATGCAGGGTGCCAGCCCGTGGGGACACCCACGCAGAGGTGTTCCCCGCCCCCATTAGTCCCCTCAGGGCTCGCCCAGAAAACGCGCATACCCACGCTCCCCCTCCGCCGGTGCAATGGTACGGCCCGGCGGGGCTTCCCCGCCTTCCAGGCTTGTGGACGTTTCCATGGGGACGGAGCGACGCCTGCCAGCGGAGGAAACCGGCGGCGCTCATTGGCTCCACTGAGGGGGGAGAGGGCGGGGAGGACGACAGCTGCGCCCAATCCGGAGGTGCCCCTCCCCTCCGGCCCCGCCCCGGCGGTTTCCGGCGCGGCCGCGGCGGGCGGAAGCGGTGGCGGCGCGGCCATGGCGTCGGGTGGAGGCTCCGGCTCCGGCTCCCGCTCCCCTTCCCCCGCCGAGCGCCTCCCCCCGCCCTTCCCCGAGCCCTGCGGCGGCGACGCGCCGGCCGACAGCGACACGGAGGGCGAGGACATCTTCACCGGCGCCGTGAGTGCGGGGAGACGGGGCAGCGCGCCGGGAGTAGGCCCGGCCCGGCTGTGAGGGGGGAGAGCTGCGGATCCGGGGCGGCCCGCTGTCCTTCGGGCTGGGTTAAAAAAAAAAGGAGAACCCCCCCCACAAAATAAAAGGAGGGGAGGGGTGGGGTGTGCCTCTGGGCTCTCGTTCCTGCGGGAAGCCCAGCGTCTCTTCCCCCTCTGGGAGCCACTCGGGTGGCTGTGGGTGCCCAGGGGTCGGGGTGCGGGCCCCAGGGGAGCAGGCGGCTCCCTTGGCCGCGGGACTGGGAAGAGGTTTGTTCCAGGCCGGTCTCCACTTCCCTGGGGTTACAACCTGTTAATTTGTCCAGAACCCGGGTGTCTCGAAAGAACCTCTCAGCGTGAAGCTGTATGGGTGGGGCACGGCGCTGGGGGCAGCTGCCTGCAGGTCTATACCCTCTTGGGTCAGGGGCAGAGTAACTCACGAGCGGGTCGCCTCGCCAGTTTGAAACCTGGCAGCAGCTGCAGCTCAGCATCTTTGCTGCGCAGCTTGTGAGACTTCACAGGGAAAAGCCCCGGGGTCTTCCTTCCCCCGGCATCAGCTTTTGTCCCTTCAATGCCCAAGGGGTGGCTGACGTGGTGCTTCAGCTCGGTAGTGGGGGAGGAACCCCTTTGTGCAGTGGGGGTGAGGTGGCAGGAGGTGTCACATGTCCCCCGCTCGCAGTGGGGAGGCTCGCCAACGCCTCAGTGACCTCCCTTGCCATGGACTGGCACAAGGGGCTGCAGGAGGGCCTAGGAAGCTTTGGCGGTACTTGTTCAGCACAAATTCCCTGCTGAAGGTGGAGGTGTGAATGGTGAAGGGTTTCAGTGACTTTTCTTGTTTCTCATAGTTTCCTGTGCACGAGTATCCCTGGTTGGTGAAAGCTGTTGGCATTAACTCTTGCCAGCTTAGGCCAGTTGTGCTGGTGTTTGCTCCAGACAGCGACCAACAGACAGGAGGGGAGTTAAAACACTGGCTGGTGCTTTCCCAAGCTGCATCCCTCCCCAGTTAGCCACTGGCCTCAAGTTCTCAGGTTCAGCATTTGCACCGAGCGAGGATCTCTGCTAGAGGGGCTGCAGAGGCTGACTCCTCTAGCAGTCTGGCTGCTTGAACGCTGCAGGTGTGAGGATTGATTTCCTAAGCTCTGTGAGCTGAGGCTGGTCACGTTGTCCCCTGCAAGGGCTGACACTGTGGCCTCTGCCTGCCTCACCCAGGCTTTTCCCAGCCTGCCTCATCCCGCCCACAGGAGTTGGTATCTCTGGCAGGGAGCTCTCCAGAAACCTCCACCTTTCTGCAGTTTCCTAGCCCTGATGTTTTCCCTGGGCTGGCTCAGGGAGACTTCAAGCAGGAGGCTGTGGCTGTGAGCACGCAGACCTGACTGCTACTGGGAACGGAGCTGGCCTGGCCGAGCATCTCCTGCCACCAGCACAAAGCTGGAGCTGTCTCTGCCCCACTGCTGGGGGAGCTCCTGGCCTGGTGCTGCCCTGATGTCCTTGAGCTCAGCAGCTGGCTATCTTCTGCTGGTGGCTTCGCAGCAGGGAGCAAGGCAGAGCTGGGGAGATGTGGGTAGGTTCTGCCCTGCGTGAACTTGTGAGGGTGAAACTCTCACGCTGGTCTGGGCAAAACAGAGCAGCAGGTTTGTATGTTTCAGAAATAGCATGGGAAAGCGCAACCCTGGCCTCACAAGAGGAGGATGCAGGTACCTCTGGCTGGCGCCAGGGCACGGTGGTGGTCTTGAACGTCTTGGGACCTTTCTTCACTGAAGAGATGGAAAGTGTAGTAGGTGGCTTGTTGCTTTGTGGTAGAGGCAACCTCTGGAAACAGACAAGTGCTAACTGCTGTGGGTTTTCATGCAAATAAAGAGGCCCTTTGCTGAAACTGGAGTCTGTTAAGCTAAAGCAGCTTATCAGGTGCTTAGTGTTGTTGTTGTTGAAGCAACTGTTATAACTAATACTTGGCTCTTCTTTGCGACCCGGTGGCTTTGCTTGTCTGTCTGCCCTTGA